CCTGTCCCACCCCAAAAGCCACCCTGGAACTGCCAAGTGGTTCACAGACTCAGATTAAGAAACCCTGACCTAAAGGGCTGGACAAATAATCCAAAATACACTGAGTGGCCAGATTATTATGACCACCTGACGTTTGTAGGCAAATTAGCTATAATTTCCCACTGAAGTTGCTAGAGGGCCAGATCATTATAAACGTCTGAATAGCACAACATACCTAAGTATCGTTGCTGATCAAGTTCATCCTATCATGTTGATGGCGTATCCCAATGGAGTGGCTTCTTCCAGTAAGACAATGCGCCATGCCACAGTACTCGTATTGTGCAGGAGTGGTTTCAAGAACATGAGGGAGCCAAACCGGTTTGGCTCAGTGGGTAGAGCGTCGGCCTGCGGACTGAAAGGTCCCAGGTTCGATTCCGGTCAAGGGCATGTACCTGGGTTGTGGGCACATCCCCAGCAGGAGGAGTGCAGGAGACAGGTGGTCAATGTTTCTCTCTCATCGATGTTTCTAACTCTCTATCTCTCTCCCTTCCTCTCGGTAAAAAATCAATAAAATATATTTTTTAAAAAAGAACATGAGGGAGACTTTACCTTGCTTAGGTAGCCCCACAATCACCAGATCTCAATCCAATTGAGCATTTGTGGGACGAAGTTAAAAGAACCATCAGGCAGCTGGTTCCACAACCATCAAATCTCACAGAACTGGACAGTGCTATTCATCAGGCATGGTGTCAGATTCCTCACATCACCTTTCCACATCTCGTGAAGTCAATGCCAAGAAGAATCGCCACAGTATTGAAGGCAAAAGGTGGCCCAACGAAGTATTGATGGGGTGGTCATAATAATCTGGCTGGTCATAATAATCTGGCCACTCAGGGCAAAGCTCATGTGTTAGTGCAGCGGTTATCAAACTTTTCTGTAAAGGGCCAGATAGTAAATATTTTAGGCTTTCGAGCCATATAGTCTCTATTTTAGCTACTCAACTCAGCCACTGTGGCGTGAAAGCAACCACAGGCAAAAGGAATGTGTGTGGCTGTGTTCCAATAAAACTTTATTTATAAAACCTTATTACAAAACAGATAGTGGGCCAGTTTTCCAATCCCTATTTAGAGGTCTCACCTCCTGGATTCCTGGAATGTCTGAAACAGAGGCTGGGAGTGGTCAACTAACATGTCCAAGGTCACACTAGCTGCGCAGGGTTGATGACCCACTCATCAACCAACCAAGTCTTACTCATGACCCAGGGACTCCAGCTCCCAACTCCTACAGCTGCTACCAGAACGTCACAGCTCCGGGAGCAGTGGGAGGATGTGGGCAGGGAGCTGGGGAAGCTAGAGGGAAGCCTGGGCTGAGAGAGGGCCAGATGGTCAGAGAAGCGGAAGACCAGTTATCTGGAAGGGGCAATGTGGGATGGATCATCTTTCCTTTTTTTTCAAAGCTTTTGTGGACTCAGTGCTGGGGTCAGAATTAGGTCTTTGACGTCCAAGTCACCTCCTTCCTTCCTCTGCATAAAAAAATAAAAATTCACATCAGATCAGGAATTTTGTCCATATCCTGCCTCATGCTGATCAACAGGGAATTTGAGATCCAGAAAGTTTTTAGACTTGGCCAGTGGGGGACCCCGAAGGAGGTCCCAGGAGCCATGGTGAGGCAGCCTCCAGGCTCTGGCGCTGCCTGGGAGGGCTGAGGCAGCCAGGGTCTCCTGAGGGGAGAGGAGGCTTGAATTGGCCCTTGAAAAATAGGGAGACCTCCTTAGCAGAAGCCCAAGAACACAGTCTATGGCCTGCTCTTTCTGTATTTTTGTTACAATTCTCCCCTTTCCTTCTTGACTGCCTTCCTCCTGATTCTCTATCACAGGAGTGACAACCCTAACTATCCTTTCTTCCTTTTATGCCCACACGCGTAACAGACATTGCTAATCAATCCTGACAGTCTTGCAGCAGCTCCAGGAAGTCAATTAGAGTTGGAACAAGAGCTAGAACCTATTTTCTATCCCTGCTGAGCAATCTGCTCCCCTCACCCTCTGCTCAGTGCCCATCTGCTCTCCGAGGCCCAGAGAGGTCAAGTGACCTGCAGGGGGTGGCCAAGTTCTTAGGGGGGACCACATGGGAGTATATGTCCATCCATGGCTGGACTGGCTCTCCCCTTTCCATTTGTCCACATCCTGAATCTGTGCATTTGACCAAGCCTAGTCTTATCCCTCAGTGACCCCAGGCATGAAGATCTACATCGACCCGTTCACCTACGAGGACCCCAATGAGGCAGTGCGGGAGTTTGCCAAGGAAATCGACATCTCCTGTGTCAAAATTGAGCAGGTGATCGGAGCAGGTAGGTGGCTGGTGCCCTCCCAGGTACTGTGACTTCAACCATGTGTAACCACCCCAACGTGTACTCCTGAGACAGAGGGTAGGATGTGGGGCAGATCCCTCAGAGAACCTTCCGAACCCTGAAGGCTCAGAGTGCCCAATGGAAAAGTCCCTCAAAGGTCATCCAGTAAAACGACCTCATCAACAGATAAGGACACTGAGGCCCGGGGCCGGGAAGGAATTTGTACATCACCTCAGAGATTGCGCTAAGTCTGGAACCCAGTTCTCTGGACTCAGCCCAGTGCTTTGTCCTTCCCACCACTCATCCCATGTCCCACCCTCCATCTCCCCAGGTTCCCCTACATCCTCACACCATGCCATCCAAACACCATGGGACAGCCATGAAGAGTTTACTCTTACTCTCAAAGGTGGGCCCCCATATTCTACAAAGGGATTCTGTGTCCAAGAGGATGAGTAGAACATTGAGGAGGCCCCAGGAGTGGGGGGGGGCGGTTTATAGGGAGCAGGGAGGTGACGCTTCCCCTGGCATATGACATCTTGCCCCTCTTGGTGTGTCTGTCCAGGGGAGTTTGGTGAGGTGTGCAGTGGCCACCTGAAACTGCCAGGCAAGAGAGAGATCTTTGTAGCCATCAAGACGCTCAAGTCGGGCTATACTGAGAAGCAGCGCCGGGACTTCCTGAGCGAGGCCTCCATCATGGGCCAGTTCGACCACCCCAACGTCATTCACCTGGAGGGTGTTGTCACCAAGAGCACGCCCGTGATGATCATCACTGAGTTCATGGAGAATGGCTCCCTGGACTCCTTCCTCCGGGTAGGGGACCATGGGCGGGGCAGGAAAAGGAGTGGTGGACATAGCTTCATACCGTCAGAGCCTCAAAGGGTTTTGGAAAAGATCTAGATCAGGAATGTCCTGTACATTTGCCACTTTCCATTCCCTTACCCACGGCTGACATCACTAATCAATCCCAGAAATCTCTCCAACCACCCTCAAAAGCAAATCTCAGACTCAATCCAGGAAACCACAAGCAGTTGATCAGAGTTAGCAAACAACCTGAAATCGGTTGCCATCCATGCTCGTAGACAGCCTTCTCATTATGCACAAGGGAAAACTGAGGCTCAAGAGGTAGAGTTTGCCCAGGGTCATCCAGAGGGTCAAGGTGAAAGCCAGGACTGGAACCACGTCTTTAGACCCCTAGTCCAGAATTTTCACTGAATTTGGGATTCCTCCAGAGCACTACAGGCCAGGGGAGGAGTTCAGAGCACAGAGGGAAACTCCAGGGCCCCTAGGAGGGTGCAGTCAACCAGACAGACAGACAGCCCTGACGAGGAGTCGGAAGTATGCCATTGGCCTAGCTGCCATTTAGCAGATATTTTTCAAGCACCTCGTACATGCCAGGCCCCTTCCATATACCCTCCTGTTTAACTCAGACAGCACTGGAAGGTGGCTGTCACTCATCCCCACTTAACACACACATGAGGAAACTGGGATATGTCCGAGGTTGCACAGACAGCAAGGGGTAGAGCCAGGTTCAAACCAACCGTGTCTGCTGCACAGTCTGTTCTCTCCACCACCCTGAAAGTGGCCTCTCCTGGGCCTACGGTCCCCGAGCACCTGAAACGGAGCCTAGGCCGGGGGGTGGGGCCCTGCCTTCCCATTGTGAACACGATCCAGAGTCTGATTCAGACCCTTCCATTGACTTTGCGTTTTCTCCACTTCTCCTGCAGCAAAACGACGGGCAGTTCACAGTCATCCAGCTGGTGGGCATGCTGCGGGGCATCGCGGCCGGCATGAAGTACCTGGCGGACATGAACTACGTCCACCGAGACCTGGCCGCCCGCAACATCCTCGTCAACAGCAACCTGGTCTGCAAGGTGTCCGACTTCGGCCTCTCACGCTTTCTGGAGGATGATACCTCAGACCCCACCTACACCAGCGCCCTGGTAAGATGCGCAGGGAACAATGGGGTCAGGGTGCCAGGAAAGAGGGCATACACATCCAGCTCTCCCTGCAGTACGTTTTCACCTGCTCATGCCAAGCACTGTGCTGGGCCCTGGAGATGCAGAGACATAAACATGGTTCCTGCCCTCCTGAAGCTCACAGGCTGGTGAGGGACACATATGTACAGAGCAACATGGAGTGACGGGGCTGTGAGCCAGGACACCAGCTTGGGGAGGCAGAGGAAGGCTGGCTAGAGGGGGTGCTATCAGAGCTGAAGGCTGCAGGGCCAGTAAAAGTGAGTCAGATGCCATGTTCTCATGGTAAGATGATACTAGAATGCAGGCTGCGAGGTTCAAGTGGTGAGCAAGAGTTTGGGAAGTTAGGCAGGGCCAGATCTTGGAGATCCTGAATGCCCATGCTCACGACTCTCTCCTGGACGCAGTTTGGGTTGGTGAAGGGTTTTAACAGAAAGGAACAGGACACAGTCCCTGCCCTCGGAGAGCTCGGAGACAGTACAGTCGGAGCCAGGCAAGTAGCAAACGATCGGAGTACTGCTCTGTATGGGCAGTGCCTCCTTGATGGAGAGATACAGGCACAGTTGTGGGATTCAACAGAGTGAGCAACAATTGGGACTTAAGGAAAGACTTTCAGAGGGACTTAAAGGACGAGAAGGAGGTTTCCAGAGGGGAGAGGGGGGAAAGCTACTGCCTGCAGAGGAATAGCATGTGCAAATGCCCCGAGATCTGAAGCCGTATGGTGAGTTTGGGAACAGGAAGATGCTTCCTATGACTGGTACGGCACAGGGCATATGGCGGGCCATGTTGAGAGCAGAGGCCAGACCGGTCAGCTTCCCACCCATCCACCCTCCTCACTCTGCTCCACAGGGTGGGAAGATCCCCATCCGCTGGACAGCCCCAGAAGCCATCCAGTACCGGAAGTTCACCTCAGCCAGCGACGTGTGGAGCTATGGCATCGTCATGTGGGAGGTGATGTCGTACGGGGAGCGGCCCTACTGGGACATGACCAACCAGGACGTAAGTCTCCAGGAGAGAGCGTCTCTGTCCAGCCAGATGGGGAAGGGGAAGATCCACATTCCTGGCCTTTTGCTGATCTCCCAGAGCGTGGGAGCACCGCCTCTGAGATCCTGGGCAAGGGCAGCTCCCAACCTGTGATGGCTGGTTCACATGTCTGCACAGGACCCCGGACTCTCCAGGGGCTCAGGAGTAGGAGGGTCCATCATCTACAAATCAGCAAATCTCGAGGATGTATTCACCTTGTGGCCAGCCCTGAATGAGACTGTCTGCCCCTCAAGTGTTTAATTTGGGGACAACACAATTACTCTGGGAACCAGATGCAGTTATCGGGAACTCTTAGGATCAGGTGCTAAACTGGAGAAGGCAAATGTTGAGACAAGAGCAGTGTGGGCAAGATCAGCCAGGAAGTCTTCACGGGACAGGGGGACTCACACAGCAGTGGGACTGGCAGACGTGAGGGATTCCAGTGGAAAGAACAGCTTGTGCCAAGGCCCAGAGGTGGGGTGGTGAGGGGTTGTGTTGAGAGCAGCGGAGAGGAAAGCTGGTTGGAAAGGCTGATGAGGTTCAATAATGAGTGTTTGAAAGCCAACTCAAGGAATTCCTATTTGCAACAATGCGGACAGGGAGGACTTGAAGGAGCTGCCTGTGCAGGGAGGGTGACTCCGTCGAACTGGGGAAGATGAGTCTGCCCCAGTGGCAGGACAGGTTGGAGGCAGGTGTCTGAGTTCCATTCCCTGACAGAGGAGCCAGGTGGGAGCCATGGGAAGGGGTACAAGTCTGTGCTGTGAGGCCTGACAAGGAAGGTATCGCTCACCTGGAGCTGTAAATGGCACTGAGGTCAAGCGTGTGGTCACGAGCCAGAAGGAGGAGTCCTCGGGCCATCAAAGCCAGGAGGGGCTCCGAGATGGGAGAGAGGGTGGGTCCTGAGGCAGAGGCTATCTCAGGGTTCTGGATTTCCTAAGATTGGGGCGGGGGAGGCAAGCACCCAGCTGCCAGGTTAGGTTGGGGCTATACCTGGTGGGAGCCCAGGTGAGGTCCATCCCTGGGTTGGACCTGGAAGGTTGCCTGGAAGAGGTGGAGGGCAACCAAATAGGTGTGTTCTGAAGTGCACTGGGGGAACGGTAGGCCAGGCCAGAGGGCAGATGCTCTTACCCACCCACCCAACCCACTCAGCCCCTCTGTTGTCCCCAGGTAATCAATGCCATAGAGCAGGACTACCGGCTGCCACCGCCCATGGACTGCCCAAGCGCCCTGCACCAGCTCATGCTGGACTGCTGGCAGAAGGACCGCAACCACCGGCCCAAGTTTGGTCAGATCGTCAACACGCTGGACAAGATGATCCGCAACCCCAACAGCCTCAAAGCCATGGCGCCCCTCTCTTCTGGGTATGGCCCTGCCCCTTCTCTGTGGCTCCGCCCCAGCTGGCCCTTACCCTCTCCAAATACCCTCCCACCCTGGCTACCCTGCCTCAAGCAGATACTCTGCCTGAACTGGGATGGAGAAGGATAGTTTGTTGGGTATCTGCACTGCTTTGGGGTGCAGAGGAGTGCAGGGCACAGTGCACGCTGGGTGGGAGAGGAAGCACTTTTAAAGAATGGTCAGCTAGGACGGTGTTTAAGAAAAGTTAGCAGAATCTTCGTTAGTAAATGGATTTACTCATCACTAAGTTTCCTCCCTATCTACCCTCACACTCAAACCTGTACTCTCTAACTTGTGTTTGCGTTCTCCTTGACACAGCCCCCCACACACACATACACACACAAACATGTGCACGCATGCCCAAGAACATAGTCCTACACATATGTATGAACATAGGCACAAATGCTTATGCTCTCACACACACAATCTCATACATGAATATACCATTCTCACACTCACACTTACATACATCCATAGGCACCTGAGCACACACACGTGCCCCCACAGTGGGCTCATCACACCTGTAGCCACCACAGCCTTGCCTGGGCGCTGTCACAGGCCCCACTCATGACCCTGCCCTCTCTGGGACTCTCAGTCACACAGGGATTCTGAGGGGCAGGGGTCCAGTCAGCTGTCCTTGGGGTCCAGGGCTAGCTGTGTCAGAGACTCACACACCAAGTTCGTGTGGCCAACAGATCTTCGTGTTGGCCTCTACCTGTCGCTTCTCACCTTGACCTTGAGTCAACAGCTCCTGCCTTTCCGGATACAAATACTGTGAGCTTTTAGCCTAATGAGCCAGCCAGGAAGTCATTCCCATTAGTGCACCAGCTTTGTCTGGACTTTGGAGAGTCGGTCCACAATTCAGCTTCTTACAGCACAACCAGGGTGGACGAGGATGGAGAATGGCACTGGGGAGGAGGCAGGGGTCATCAGCAGTGAGTCCCTCTGCACTCCCTCCTGATGAAGTAAGAAGTGTGTCCCGCCTCACACATGGTCCAGCCTCTCAGCAGTCCCTGCAGAGGCTTCACCAGACTTTCCAGGTGGCCCCAGCTGCGAGTCCTGCACACTTGCTTTCTCATATTCTCACATCTATGTGTGCACATGTATGCAGGTTCAAACTCACAACTACCCACAGGGAGAGACGCACATACATGCACACTCACCTGTGTTCATGCTGACGGATACACACATGCAGGTACACCTGCAGCCCATCCGTACCCTGTCCCCTCTGCTAGCATGTGCCCTGACCGTCTCTGTTGCCCACCCCACCCCTAGCATCAACCTGCCACTGCTGGACCGCACGATCCCCGACTACACCAGCTTTAACACAGTGGACGAGTGGCTAGAGGCCATCAAGATGGGGCAGTACAAGGAGAGCTTCGCCAGTGCTGGCTTCACCTCCTTCGATGTCGTGTCACAGATGATGATGGAGTAAGTGCCCAGCTGCCTCCACCCACCCTCCCAAGTGGGGGGCTCGGGAGAGTGGAAGATAGGCAGTGTCCCAGCAGGAATGTGGGGGCCAAAGAGTGAGATGGCCAACTCTGGAGTTGCATTCTGATCGACACCCAGGTCCGCCTGCCACCCACTGGCCGTGTGACCTTGGGCAAATCACAGAAGCTTCCTCAGCCCCAGTTTTTCCTTCTGTGAACTGGGGGTTTGTAGGAGGAGCAACAGAGACACAGAGGGGGTGCCTAGTAAATGCAGGTTCCTTTCCCAGCAGAGGCGATGGCACACCTAGATCCCCTGACTCCCAGCACGTGCTCCTGCCACCTCATGTAGTCACTCACTTCAGCTCCAGATGCCCACCCTCCTCCACACCCCTCGTCCCTTCCCTTGCTCTCTCTCTCTTTTCTTTTTTTTTTTTTTTAATAATTGTATTGACTTCAGAGAGAGGAAGGGAGAGGGAAAGAGAGAGAAAAACATTAATGATGAGAAAGAATCAGTGACTGGCCGCCTCCTGTACATCCCCCACTGGGGCTCAAGCCTGCAACCCGGACATGTGCTCTGACTGGGAATCGAACCATGACCTCCTGGTTCATAGGTCGACGCTCAACCACGGAGCCACGCCGGCTGGGCCCCCTGCTCTCTTTAGCAGGAAACCCTGGAGAAGCCCAGGCAGCTCTCTGCCTGACCCAAGGTCCCCTCCACCCCCACATTTCCCTAACACACGTGCTTTTCTCCCCAAGGGACATTCTCCGGGTTGGGGTCACCTTGGCCGGCCACCAGAAAAAAATCCTGAACAGTATCCAGGTGATGCGGGCACAGATGAACCAGATCCAGTCTGTGGAGGTTTGACGTTCGCCTGCCTCGGCTCACCTCTTCCTCCAGGCCCTGCCCCCTCCACCCCACATGCTGGCCTCCCTGGTTCTCTGTCTACCGAAGGGTCAGCCACCTGCCAGGAGGCCACGGCAACAGGAAGAACCAAGCAGCCCGCCAGCCATGAGACGTCACCATGAGCACGTGCACTCAGATGATGGGAAAAAAGGGAACAGGGACAAAAGAAAACAGATCCTGGGAGGGGCGGGAAATACAAGGAATATTTTTTAAAGAGGATTCTCATAAGGAAAGCGATCATTGTTCTTGGGGGAAAAGAAAAAGGGCTTGGGAGATTCATGCGACGGTCCAATTGGAGCTCAAAAGCAGTTTCTCTCCAACTCCCTCTGGGAAGGCGACCTGGCCGGAGCCAAGAAACACTTTCAGGAAAACAAATGTGAAAGGGAGAGACCAGGGTCACTCTTCTCTCCCGCCCCCAGGCTGCTCTTCCAGGCCTCGCTCGACAGCCACGTGCCAGGCGGACAGACGGGCAGCCACCTGGGAGCCACTCCGGGAATATCCATTCCTACTGCCACTGGGCAAACAGAAGAATCCTTCTGTCTTTGGAGAATATTTTAGAAACTCCAATGAAAAAGACGTGTTTCTCCGATTGGCTTATGGGGCTGAAAAGGGACTCTTGTCTTCCTGGGTCAGGGAGAACACAGGGACCCGGGAAGGTCAGCCGCCCTGAGGCTGCCACCCCCCAGGTCTGCAGCTCCACGTCCATTATCACGTGCACAGCCGGCCGCCCGGCCCACCGGGCGCCCACTCCCGACAGCCCCCACATGGAGGACTGGTGCTGCAGTGACCACCATCAGCTACAACTGCCACTGAGGACGGTTGTGCCTGCGTCTGGGTTTGTTTACAGCGATTCGTGGACTGGGGGGCATATTTTGGTCAGGGGTGAGTTTGGTTTAGGGGTTTGTTTGTTGGTTGTTGTTTTGTTTTTTTTTAATGACAATGAAGTGACACTTTGACATTTCCTACCTTTTGAGGACTTTGATCCTTCTCCAGGAAGAAGGTGCTTTCAGCTTAATGACTTAGGCAATACACCAAGGGCGAGATTTTATATGCACATATCTGGATTTTTATATGGTTTTCACTGACACCCTTCCCTCCTCTGAATAGAGCTCCCACCTGCCGCCAGGCCTCACCAAAGCCAATGCCACGGGGCCATCTGGGCCCCTCATAGACTGAGTGAGATTTGGGCAGAGCTGGGGGGCCAAGGTGAAGGAGCATCCCCTCCCCCAGGACTGTTCTTGAAAGCAACAGATCGAGCAGGAAGTAGGCCCGAGGCTGCAGCGCCAGAATTCTCTGCCCACTTGTCCACTCTCCTTCTGCCCCAATATATGCAGTGCTTTCCAGGCAAATAGGCCCCTTGGAGGTTCCTGAGTTGCCCTCACATGGCCAGTTCCCAGTTTCTCCTCTGGGAGCCCAAACCAAGCTGCATCAGGCCGGGACCCGGATCATTCACTGTGATATCCCAGCTTCCAGAGCATCCCCCTCAGAGACGTGTGCAGGCATGCTCCTTTCCTCCTGGGAGAAAGCGTGTTGCTCTCCTACCCCCTTCCCTCCTCCAGACCTCTGCCCAGATCTGAAGGGTCTTGGCCATGGGAAAACCCATCAGCCAAGGGGTCTGGCCAGCCTCCCTCCTGTGAGCAAAGGCAGGCACCTGAGCGGACCAACCGGTTAGTGAATTGAATGGAAATAAACACTTTAGTTATAAAAAGACCTCTGTTCTCTGTAAGTTCCGAGAGAGAGAGAGACCCTGGCACTCTTGGAACTTGTCTAGTGACTCATGATGCTCTTCCTCGCTCAGGGTTATAGAAGGCCCAGGGCTGAGAGAACACATGGAGGACGCCAAAGTCCATGTGGCCTTTCTGGCTCAGGCTTGTCAAAAGCACAGGCAAAGGAAGACGTGACTTGGAAGGAACGCTTGCTGCCTCTGCAGGATGCATCAGGAGCAGGGGGTTGGCGGTGCACTCAGCTCACCCGGGCCAGGGGGCGGGGGTCTAGGTATTAGGTGAGCTGTGAGGTGGGACTGTGAGGGTCCCGGCGTACTCATGGACCCCCCCCCCCCCGGCACCCCAGTCAAAGCCACAGGAATGATCACCTTTTCCTGGTCAACTAATCTCTGCGCAAATGGGCTCCTACTCACATAAACTCAGAATTCTTTGTGGAGGAGGAGGCAGGGACTCTAAAGGGGGGAGGTCAGGGATGCCTCATCTCAGGACCTTTCCCTTTGTCCATGGGAGACTGACCAGTGGCAAAGTTTCAGGTCACAGGTGGCCAGCTAAAGGCCACTCGGTGGTCCGACAGAGCATCCCGCATGGCCCAGCCTGTCGTCTGTCACTCACCTGTTCTCCAGAGCCTGAGATGCAAAGGGAAGGAAGGGATTAGAGGGGAGCATCCCCCTCCCCCACCCCCGAGGAGGGAACAGCAGAGTAAGCCACAGGGAAGGCCTTGGCTGGTTTCCCTAAAACTGGCCAGTCTTGGCGAGTCGGCCACCCTTGTGCCCCAAAGATGCCCAGCACGGGTGGCAGCTGTCCCGGCACACAAGGTCACCTTCTGGAGAGAGCTGCCCTGATGCTCTTCAGATTAACTCTGAGTCCCCAGCCTGCCTACCCCCCACCCCCACTGCCACCACAGGGGGCTGGCACTCAGTGCTTCCTGTCAGATGGCTTCCTGCATTAAGCCTATAGGCTGGTGTCTGCTCGCCAGCACGTCTGCCCATCCACCCTCCAGGGCCCTGCGTCCTCAGTGGTCCTGGGCCCCCTCGTGCCTGCTTCTCAAGAGTAAGGGTGCTCCCCTGACCCTCTGTCTCCATTGCAGGATGACAGACAGACGTCACTGTGACCATCCAGGGGGCCTGCCTCTTGCTGCGGAGCAGCCCCCCCACCACCTCTTGCTTCTCAGCAGGAAGTGGCCGGCCGAGCTGCTGGCCCGGGCACACGGCTCTGAGCCGCCTGCCCGCTGCCTGGTTACTAATCCTTTCCTGGCTCCATCGCCCCAAGTGCCAGCCCCACCTGCCCAGCAGTGTGAGAGGCGTTTCCGGCTGCTCTGCACGCAGTTGGTACTTGAGGAAAGAAAAGCTGCCTTGTGAACAGGGGCCAGGGCACCGTGGAAATGGGCCCAGCTGCTCCGAGAGTGACAAGCAGAGCTTCACAGGCCAGACCGGGTAATAGCGGGGCCATCGCCTCCGCTCCTACTGCTCCAGAAGCCCCTAAAATGAGTTGTTGTTGATAATCAGCAGGCTTCTTCTTGGGGGATGATAGCGATCAACCGGTAAGACGTGGGCAGACCGATCAGAATAGATGATGGAAGTGCAGCAGACACTTAAGGGACTCTGGGCAGTGGCTATTTACTAGCCAGTGGTGCCTCCTGCCCATAGGGCATCAGCGGGGCTTTCCCCATCTTTTCTAGTTGGTCCCCACGCTGCCTGCGCTCAGGGAGCTCTCTGCCACCCCCTTGTGTGCAGTCATTAGCCTTGCACCCCTCTGCAATCGGGCTCATCTCCAGAAGACTGGGAGCTCCCAGGCCCTGCCCCTACCTAGCTCTTCCTCACACCTGGCTGAAGCACAGGAAGGACCCAGGCCTCTGGTCCCCGCCTCCCCCCAGTGCTGAGCCCCTGGCCACTCCTGGCTCTCTCCTGGGCCCCTGTAGTCCCAAGACTGGGACCAAAGGATGGAAGACTCTTGCCAGGGAAAGCAGTGTAAATGCATTCAAAGGACAGGAGGCCGCAGGTTGCTAGGGAAAATGCATCCTGGCAGCCTTGCTCTTGTCACTAACTTAAGATGTGGATCTGGGCAAGTCACTTCCCCTTACTGAGCCTCAGTCTCCCACATGTAAAATGAGAGGACTGGACTGGGTGAGCCGGGTGAGGAGGCACCATTTTCTCCCCTAGGTAGGGGGGAAGCTGAGGCTCAGAGAGGGGAAGTGGCTTGCTCAGCATTACCCAACCAGGAATGGGCAGAGCAAGGCTGTGTTCATCTGCTTCCATTGCCCACGCCACACACTCCATCAGAGGACATCAAGTACTGGGTGTCTGATGCTGGCTGGTAAGAGAAGGGAAAGCTCAAATGGGCTGGGGCTGTCAGGGAGGGCTTCATGGAGGAGGCTGTCTTGCAAATGACAGAGGTTGAGAGAAAGATCATTCCAGGTGGGCGGTAGAGTGTAACCAAAAATCCAGAGGCTGGAATGCTCCAACAATGAGGGGTTGTGTCTGCCTGGAGCAGAGGGAGTGGTGGGAAGTGGGGGATGATGTACTTGGAGGGCGAGGCAGTTTGCACATGATACACAGTCCAGCCACAGCAGGTTCTTGAGCAGAATAATAGCAGAGTGAGCATCGCGCTCCAGGAGGAGTGAGTTCAGCCATCAGGTGGGGGCAGGATGCCCCACAGCTTCCCCCTCCCCCGGGAAGAAGAGCCCCTGGAGAAGCCCTCATTTATTCCAGGAGAATCCAGGCCCTGCTGTTTCATTATCCATCCTCACTGACGCATTTAATCCACAGATCACTCCAGCTGCTGGGAGCAGCAGGGTTGGATTTCGTGCTACCTAATTCTTAATTCAGCTTCGTTTGATGATACCCACCCCATTCCCTCCAGGCCTCTGTGAGAGCTACCAGGCCCTGACCAGAGCTGAGTAGATGTGGGTGGCAGTGACGGCCTGGGCAGGCAGGAAGGTGGGCATGGAAGAGCCCTGAGGGGACAGAGCAGAGCCCTGGTGTGCGCTGGAGGTGGCATGGTGGCATACTCACTACTTAGGATGCCCATCTCTGCCCTGGTGGCCCTGGGATCATCCAGGAAGGGGCTGGGTCCTGCCCTTTACAACAGTGTGTTACGCTAGGGAAACCCAGAGGGAAGCTAGGGAGCCACTCTGTGCATGCACACACCAGCTGCCGGCCTTGACCCAGCTTCCCAGGAAATAGGACCTGCCATAGAACATCTGGGAGAACGCCTCGAAGCTGGCCAGTGTCCCTTCAGGGACACCAAGGTCAGAGTGTTGGTCCCAGAGAGTGACTTGGCCTTTGTTCTGACACAGGAAAGCTCAGGGACACCCCACTGGAGGCGGGTCGCAGGAGGTTGAGGCCACAGGGATTGCATTAGTCACCGAAAACTTACCATACATTCGGGACCTTATGGGTGTTACCATCCCCCCTCTCCCG